GACGGCAAGGATTTCTATACGGTGAGCTTCGAATTTGAGCTTCTCGCAACAACCGCTCAGATCTGGATGTACTACGACGGAAGCTAACCTTTTCCTTCAGAAGGGACCATCCAGGAGAAGCATCAATACTACCACGAGTCCCTCCTCGCGTACACCACTCTCCTTCGAAATCTTTCTCTCCAAAGAACAGCTCGGCATCCGTCCCTATAAAACGGAGTGGGCTCCCACGCACACGTCCTGGGAACACCTGCGCAACTCATACATGGCAACAGATCCAGTCACAATGAGTCGCCTGCTCAGCCAACCAACTTTGGTTAGAATGAAACAAGGGGAGAAAGCGGGACCGTATGTTAATCGGTGCCGCAATCTGTGCGATAAACGTCAAGAAGTGTGGCGGAACTGTTCCCGACGACATGTTCATTTCAATGGTCATCTCAGATCTCGGCCCCGACTAGCGACAATGTCAGTCACTGCTTCGCGCTCGAGCAAGGATTTCGGAGTCTGCTCTGTGCGCCACACTCCTTTCCGAGCAAAAGGAGATTGACCTGTACAATAAGAAGAATGTCAAGCAGGAGAAGTTAGTCTTCTACGCCGGAGGATCTCAAGGGGAGCAACGTGGAAAGAAGGGAACGTTATGCAAATACTGCAAGAAGCCCGACCACTCCATCGATCAGTGCTTCAAGCGAAAGGCCGCTGACGAAAGGAGCAACTCCTCCAGTCAGCAACCATTGGCACAGTCGACGCCTCCTACCGCGACCTCCACCGTGTCGCCACCCTCGGTCGCCAGCACCTCCCAGACTCCTGCTCATATTTCGATGAAAGACAAAGGCAAGGGGGCAATCATGAGCTGCATGGCACGTCGTCGTAAAGGATGACGATACTTCGACAATGTCGCATACCCGCCTATCGCGCCGATCAACCCCATTGCGCCCAGTCCAAACAACGATCCCACCATCCACAGCTGGATTGATCGCCCATCAAACATCCCACCTGATTTCGAGTTGCCTCCGCCAACACCGGAATCTCCTCCCAGCATCACCGCAAACAGGTACTTCGCTCCCTCACTGTACAACGGCGACTTTGAGCGCGTTGTCACGCCAAGAACTGCCAACATCGCGCGCCAGAGCCATGAGAGTATCAACACCTGGTACCTTGATAGCTGCTGCAGACAACACATTGTGCGATCCTCGGCGTTCATCACCAACTCACGGCACATGCGACGACCATGCGAGATAACCGTCGCCAACAACGGCAAAATGAAGGCATACGACATTGGTGAAATTTACCTTGAAGCCGATGACACAAAGTTCACCATTTACATCGGAGACGTGCTCATCGCCCCTGATCTGCAGTACAACCTGCTCTCCTCGGCACAACTCATGCGGTGCGGAGTTGACATTCGCAACAACCGCAGGGATAAAATCTTCGAGCTGTTCTACAACAACACTTACATCGGCAAACCAATAGACGACGACGGAGTCTTCGTGCTGCAAATCTCAGCCCAAAGCACCACTGGCGACTCTGACCGCACACTGCTGTTGAAGACAACCCCCACGGAGCTGCCGACATGGTACCATCCGGTGGAAATGGACCTTGAATGGCCCGCCTCCGACGGTCTCCTGCGCCTGCGCACCGTTCCAACCGCTTCGACCTCCAATCCTGCAGAAACTGGACCTGCCACAATGGAAGAAGACAGCGGCACGTCAGCACCTGCAGCACCAACTACCGGAGAAAGTGAGGCAACTGGAACGGGTAAGGGCACTGCCGAGCCTATGCTTGGCCCCTGGGGAGAAATCCAGACTCCAGAAGAAGCGGCCGCAAGCGGATGGGGCGCCGTCTCGACAGGAGAAGAAGAAGCAGCTACGGCTGGATGGGGCACCGCCACAGCACCAGAAGAAGGAGAAGCCACTGGTGGCGGCTGGGGAACCTCAGCCGGAGAAGGATGGGGACCACGGACCTACGATGAAGCTACAGGACTTCCTTCCGCAGAAATGGCAATGGTCGACCCACACTGGGTAACTCGTGGTACCAGCTGGGGAGGTCCTCCTCTTCCTGATCAATACACTCCTATCACACGAGAACCCACAGCAGAGGAGTCAGAAGAAGAAGCAGCTTATGAGCTTTTCGAAGAAGTAGTGGAATTACCGGAACCCACGGAGGAACCACTGTCACCGGAGCAAGGGCCGGAAGAAGTTGAAGTCATATGTGCTGAGTACAGTTACTTTCAGATTCCAATGACGGGACTCTCAGTCCATGATTGGCCAAGACCGAAGCCGCCACCGTCAACGCATCTGCTCGTTACGGGCAAGCAGGTTGATGCAACTGACACTGATGACATCATCGGAATTCCGCGCGCCCTCCTGGAGCAAAACTCTGTTCGAGCCTTCGCAGCTGACGCTGACTCCGCCGCTGACACGGGACCTAGAAAGGAGCAGGACGACGCATCAGCACGGCACAAATATTATCAGAAGATTGTCGGCTATCGTGCGGATCCTAAAACCTGGCACCAGCGACTCGGACACCCCTCACACGCTACACTCAAAAACTCACTTAAGGTTGGTGTCTTCGACGACGACGCGCTCCTCCTGCCTCAAAACGGTTTCCTCATCGTGGACTCAGCTGATCCGCCGTGCAGCGTCCGCCCAACAGCATCGCTCACCCACAAGCCGTTTCCCGACTTACCTACGGGATACGAACGCTACAAGCCGCTGGACAATGTCTACAGCGAATTCATGATCCTTAGTCACGAAGGGCTCGACGGCGAACAGTACACGCTCACTTTCATTGATGCATGCACGCGTTACGTCTGGGCCATCAACACCGACTGTCGCTCTCTTGCCTTCGAGTGCTTCGTGGCGTGGATGAAGCGGGCTGAGCGTCAATCCAGGCTGAAGCTGAAGAGCTACCGGACGAAACGGGGGTTTGGAGTTTTTCTCAACACAGTTCAAAAAACTATTTAAGCAGAAGGGGATTGAGCACCTGGTGTCCCTGCCCTATGCTCACAAGCAACAAGGAGTAGCAGAACGCTACACAGATGAGGGTTCGAAGAGAACGATGGCGCCGTGTGTCTTCTTCAGAAACCCCTTTATAGGACACCTCATCTATGGCAGCAGTATCTCCACTCCGTTCTCCTTGGACTCGGCTTCGCCCAGTTGCCGCATGACCTCGGGATGTACAGACGGGAATCGAGCGGCAAGTTCATCCTCCTCGTCGCCTACGTCGACGACCTCCTCTACACCGGCGATAACACGGAGCCGTTGGATCAGTTCGAAGTTGACATCAAGGAGAAACTCAAGGTGACGATCAATCACAACGTCACCCAGTTCCTGGGGCTTAATGTCACTCAGTCCGCATTCACCTCTCCGCCGCCAAGTACGCCGAGACACTCGCAAAGCGGTTCGCCATCGCACCAATCAATCTCACCACTCCATACTGCACTTCTCCTCCCAATCATGAGCCGGACAACACACCTCTCTCCAACGATGACCATCGGCTCTACCAACAGCAACTCGGATGTCTCCTATTTGCCGCCAACACGTGCCGGCCCAATTTAGCCTATGTCGCAAGCCAGCTCGCACAGTACCTGAAGCGACCTGAAGGGGAGAATCTACTGGATCTACGCCGAGCACTGCAGTACCTCATCTGAACTCCTGACGTCGGCCTCACCTACGAAGCTAACCTCACTGCCACTCTGCAGCTTCATGGCTACGTAGATGCTGACCAAGCGGGAGGTGTTGACAACAGACGCTACCGCACAGGATTCATCTTCCAACTCCAACCTGCCGGGCTCATCTCCTGAAACTCTTAGAAGCAAGAAATGATCGCCCTTTCTTCGGCTGAAGCTGAGTTCATCGCCGCCAGCGCAGCTGTTCGCGAAGGACTGTATCTGATGGAACTCCTGCAAGAACTGAAAGTGACGATGAACATGCACTTCACGTTACTCTGCGACAATCAGAGCGCGATCAAGATCGCGAACAAGCCCGGCTTCGTAAACAGCACGAAGCACATCGCACTCCGCTACTTCTTCGTCAAAGTCAAAATCGACAAGGGGAGAGTCAAACTGACGTATTGCCCAACTGGTGACGTGGCAGCTGATTTCCTGACGAAGAAATTGCCACGTCAGCAGTTTCAGCGCTCCGCCAACCTCTGCGGGATCACCAAGAAATCCCACGTGGCCCACCTTCAGGAATGAAGGGGAGTGTTGGAATAACCGAAAGGTTATAAGCATTCCCGAAGGTATCCCACTAACGCATCAGCTGTTCAGCAGAACCAACCGGGCACTGTACCAGTACCGCAATAGCTCATATAGAGCATGCGGAAGGTCGAGGGTCACCCGAAGGTCAACCGTCGAGGATAGTCAACGGTCGTGACCCTTGACCAGCGAGTAACTGCACGACAGTTGTTCGCTGCAACGTGGTAACTGTCGAGAGAATGGCAATTGTCGTAGTTACTGTAGCTATGCAATACAGTTAATAAGGGAATGTACCCCTCAGAGTACATGGCTAGCTAGTTTGCTATTAAATGCCTTGTACTCCTATCTTATAATCATCTTGTTCTCTTTCAACCATTATGCAACAAGGTCACAACAGACTTCATTGTCTCCTCCTCTATATATACCAGCACCAACATCACAGCTCGGCTGGTTACCCGCGCCCCGGTCCTCCGCCTCGGCACCAGGCCCGTCTCGCAACCCACTTAAATCGTTATTGTTACCACAAAAATTCGCTTATTTGCCATTCGCTTGTTCCTTTGCTCGTTGTACTGTTTTGCTTCGATAGTGCAATCTTCGTTTGCTCACTCAATTACACTCGTAAGAAACAAATCTTCAATAAGCAGGTGTAGCAAAACGTAGACAAACACCTATTAGAAAGGGGGGTGACTTCCAATTTGTATCTTGTAAGACTTTGACAATATCGCGAACACGAATGTTATGCGGATTCATGAAAACCGAAGGTTTTTTACGCCTAAGTCTTGTAAGCAGGCTAGCAGCGTGGCAAGCCATGCCTTCGATCGCGCTTCGTCCTGCGCCCCGCCTTCGCAGCAGCGCCAGTTCTATTATTCATTGCGCCCCCTCGCCTGTCGCGCCAATTCCGTGCGCATTTTATTCGCCGCCGTGCTCGCGTCATCGAGGGACGGAGGCGCAGCGCAGAGGTCGTCCCGTCGCGTTTTCGCCATCGCTCGTCGCTTGCGCACCCAGCACGTCGTTTCGAGACGGTCAGGTGAGATCCGTGCGCACGCGGCACTCAGGCCTGTCGAGTCCCGATCACGTCACCCTCGGGTCGGCCCTGTTGTGGGCCGTGCCGCGTTCCGTTGCACCACGTGCGCCGATGCAACCCGCCGTTTTCGCGCAGCCAGGTACGGGTATGGCGAAACGCTTGAATGATGGCGTGTTCTGCACCGCCCCCCTGTGGCACAGGCGCCCCTTGCCCCTGGCAAGGCGCCCTGCCTCGGGTGGCTTCTCCCTGTGCATGGCGCGCTGTGGTGCTGCATGGAGCGCTGTGGTGCTGCATGGCGCGCTGTGGTGCTGCATGGCGCGCTGTGGTGCTGCATGGCGCGCTGTGGTGCTGCATGGAGCACGCCTGCTTACTTATCCTCCTACTCTCTCACCCATCCGTCCACAGCCGTTGCTGGCAGCGACCTCTCCGTGCCGCCACTGGCGCCTCTCTCCATCCGCCATGGCCACCCCTGCCCACCACTCCGTACCACCACCACCTCATGCTGCTGAACCAAGTGATGCGGCCAAGGCTGAGCTGGAGGCCCGAAACGAGCGCAGCACGGCGGAGGTGGCAGCGTTGCGGCGCTCAGAGGTGGGCGTGGTGGTGGTGGACCACGGGTCCCGGCGACCCGAGTCCAACCAGCAGCTCGGTGCGCTCTAGCGGGCCGGGGAGGGGGGGGGAGAGGCAGTGAGGACACGGGGTATAGGATTAAGGAGGGGAGGGGGGCGGAGGGGGGGGGGAGGGAGGGAGGGAGCGAGGGAGGGAGGGAGGGAGGGAAGGAGGGAGAGAGGGAGGGAGGGAGGAGTGAGGGAGGGAGGGAGGGAGGGAGGGAGGGAGGGAGGGAGGGAGGGAGGGAGGGAGGGAGGGAGGGAGGGAGGGAGGGAGGGAGGGAGGGAGGGAGGGAGGGAGGGAGGGAGGGAAAGAGGGAGGGAAAGAGGGAGGGAGGGAGGGAGGGAAAGAGGGAGGGGAGAGAGGGAGGGAGGGAGGGAGGGAGGGAGGGAAGGAGGGAGGCAGGGACGAGGGAGGGTCTCTCATCCCATCCATCCATCTCCGCTCTCGGAAGGCATCTTCATGTACTCTCCATGCCACACCTCCCATGCCACACCTCCCATGCCACACCTCCCATGCCACACCTCCCATGCCACACCTCCCATGCCACACCTCCCATGCCACACCTCCCATGCCACACCTCCCATGCCACACCTCCCATGCCACACCTCCCATGCCTCACCTCCCATGCCACACCTCCCATGCCACACCTCCCATGCCACACCTCCCATGCCACACCTCCCATGCCACACATCCCATGCCACACCTCCCATGCCACACCTCCCATGCCACACCTCCCATGCCACACCTCCCATGCCACACCTCCCATGCCACACCTCCCATGCCACACCTCCCATGCCACACCTCCCATGCCACACCTCCCATGCCACACCTCCCATGCCGCACCTCCCAGCAGACCTCTTCGTGGGGGTGTTTCAGCAAGAGACGGGCTACTCCATCGTGGAGCCGGCGCACATGGTGAGGGGCGCACATGGTGAGGGGCGCACATGGTGAGGGGCGCACATGGTGAGGGGCGCACATGGTGAGGGGCGCACATGGTGAGGGGCGCACATGGTGAGGTGCGCACATGGTGAGGGGCGCACATGGTGAGGGGCGCACATGGTGAGGGGCGCACATGGTGAGGGGCGCACATGGTGAGGGGCGCACATGGTGAGGGGCGCACATGGTGAGGGGCGCACATGGTGAGGGGCGCACATGGTGAGGGGCGCACATGGTGAGGGGCGCACATGGTGAGGGGCGCACATGGTGAGCGCACATGGTGAGGGGCGCACATGGTGAGGGGCGCACATGGTGAGGGGCGCACATGGTGAGGGGCGCACATGGTGAGGGGCGCACATGGTGAGGGGCGCACATGGTGAGGGGCGCACATGGTGAGGGGCGCACATGTTAGGCGGCCCATCGCCGTTCATAGCAGTAGACATGAGCAACGGTCAAACTCGGACGTGTTCCTGTCAAACCTTTTCGAACACCCCTCCAACTCGGACCGAACATGGTCGGTGTCGAACACTTTTCCCAAATAATGGAGTTCCATGTTCGCCCATGGGGGCGAACCGTTTGGTGTTTTGATACGAACATGTTTGGTTTGAGCAGTCCTCCCCCCACCCTCCACAACCCCTCCCCTCCCCCTCCCCATCCCTCTCCAGTCCCCTGCTCCTCGAGCCCCTCCCCCTCCAGTGCGCTTCAATCTCGACTGGACACGTGGAACACTTGGATGTTCGGTCCAATATTTTATGCAAAAAAAAAAGCAACAGAAACGGTTCGGTTTGACTCGAACATGTTCCCCGAACTGAACAGGGGTTTGCCCCTTTGCTCATGTCTACATGGCAGTGCACAGTGGAGCTCTGGTAACCAATTTTCCCCGTTACTGTCTCCCCACATGCCTACTCTTCCACACCTGACTCCCCTCCATGCCACACCCTCCATGCCGTCCCCTCCATGCCACACCCTCCATGCCGTCCCCTCCATGTCATTGCAGGGCGGCACTCCATCGGGCCAGTCACCCTCATCTGCTTTACCACCACCAGCACCCCACCCACACATGCCTCCTGCCTCACTCACCCAGCAAGCCGCACCACACCCGTGCAACTTTGGTTCCCACCCCCCCATGTTCCCTCATATTGCCTCCCTTTCAACTGCCTCTCCCCCCACGGCCTCACCAGGAGATAGCAGAGCCGTCCATAGCGGTGGCATTCTCGCGGTGCGTGCAGCGGGGCGCCAGGGGCGTCATCGTGTGCCCCTACTTCCTCTCGCCCGGCCGCCACTGGCAACGGGTGCGTCCCTGGCAATGGGTGCGTCCCTGGCAATGGGTGCGTCCCTGGCAATGGGTGCGTCCCTGGCAATGGGTGCGTCCCTGGCAATGGGTGCGTCCCTGGCAATGGGTGCATCCCTGGCAATGGGTGCGTCCTGGCAATGGGTGCGTCCCTGGCAATGGGTGCGTCCCTGGCAATGGGTGCGTCCCTGGCAATGGGTGCGTCCCTGGCAATGGGTGCGTCCCTGGCAATGGGTGCGTCCCTGGCAACGGGTGCGTCCCTGGCAATGGGTGCGTCCCTGGCAATGGGTGCGTCCCTGGCAATGGGTGCGTCCCTGGCAATGGGTGCGTCCCTGGCAATGGGTGCGTCCCTGGCAATGGGTGCGTCCCTGGCAATGGGTGCGTCCCTGGCAATGGGTGCGTCCCTGGCAATGGGTGCGTCCCTGGCAATGGGTGCGTCCCTGGCAATGGGTGCGTCCCTGGCAATGGGTGCGTCCCTGGCAATGGGTGCGTCCCTGGCAATGGGTGCGTCCCTGGCAACTGGTGCGTCCCTGGCAATGGGTGCGTCCCTGGCAATGGGTGCGTCCCTGGCAATGGGTGCGTCCCTGGCAACTGGTGCGTCCCTGGCAACGGGTGCGTCCTGGGGTGGCCCAGCGGCTCATGCACTTGTGGCGTGGCAGCTGTGACACATTCACACATTCGCACTTGTGGATTGTTTCTCACACATTCGCACCGTTCTGAGACCCTCGCACCGTTCTGAGACCCTCACCTCCTCCCTGCCACCATCTCCTCCCTGCCACCATCTCTGGTACCCTTGCACCATCTCTGGTACCCTTGCACCATCTCTGGTACCCTTGCACCATCCCGGCCCTGGCAGGACATCCCGGCGCTGGCAGCAGAGGCAGCAGCGCAGCACGGCAATCGAGTGCCCTTTATAGTCACTGCGCCCATTGGGGTGCATCCACTCGTTGCTGTGAGTGCCTGTGCCTCTGTTTACTGCAAGTGTAGGATTCCTAAAGCCACTTGCGTGCCTCTCAACTCACTTTTTTTTTGTTTGCATGCTTGTTGAAGTTGAAGCAGCTTCACAGTTTGAGTGCCTGACATGGTGATGCCCTCTCAAGAATGTGATCCCCTCTTTCCTTCCTCTCTTCCTTCCCTCTTTCTCTCCTGCTGTCCACCTTGTCTCCCACACAATGAGCGTTGAAACAGTACCATCTGACTGCCATTACCATCTGACTGCCATTACCATCTGACTGCCATTACCATCTGACTGCCACTCGTATGAGTGTTCTGGTGTGTCTCCTCCTCGCCCTATTTCCAAGTGTGCTCCTACGCCCCCTTTCCCCTTTGTTGCGCCCCTTTGCTGCTGCCCCTCACTGCCCCTCTGCACCATGGTGAGCACCAGCGTGTGTTGGAGCAGCGCATCGCCCACTGCCTGCAGCGAGTGGCCAGCGAGGATGCTAGCATTGCATGTGATGCATGCAGGGATGGGGGGGGTTGCATGGACCAGAAGCTTCTTTGACAAGTACCCCAACATGGCCTACATTCCCCCCCCCCCCCCCCCCCCCCCCCCCCCCCCCCCCCCCCCCCCCCCCCCCCCCCCCCCCCCCCCAAAAAAAAAAGAAAGGTACTATATGAGCCTTGCAGTATTCACAAAAAACAAACTCTCAGCTCTCAGGGTTGGCTAATTGAAATGAGGGTTGCAAAGGGGTGCTGTCAAATTATATACGGTATTTGTTTGTTAGGCTGCAGTGGGATACACGATATCGGGTACAACACATGTTAGGGTTTTGTCAAGAACGGAATGATTTTAGGAGAATGAGGAACGAGAGTAGGGTGACAGGGGTTTTTTTATCGAGTAAATTACTATGTTTATCTGAAAATCAGAGTGGTTTTTAGGGGGTCACTCTGACGTGTCTGGCCTGTTGGGCTGAGAAAAGCCCTTAGAATCTTTTCAAGGCTAAACTCTGGGTAGGAATATTGAAATTGCGGAAGCGTTTAATGACAAGTGTTGAACCACCTTGCGCTGGTATGTGAGGGCAAGATAGATTGATCATAGAAAAGTAATACAAGCTTTTAAATGAGGTATGAAAGGATGCAATAACCGTTTTACTGTTGCTGTTGCGGTTCGGTACATTGACGACTCGGGCAACTGCTCAATAGCGAGTCAGTTGTTTGTCCTTGCTGTCGCGCTGTATTTGTCGAGTCAAAGGTCGTCTGACATTTGTCCTTCGCGTAACCTCCAGCAGTTGCGTTTTTTCAACCTCCTCGGTTGACTCGCCGGTGCTTCGTTATAGTTCGCTTCGTTTACGGTTCAATGTTCCGTCACATCAGAAGCGCTTAAGTTACTTGTTTCCAACACTCCCCTTCGCTTCTGGAGTGTCGCTGCTGGTGACGTGGCTTTGTCCAGTCAGCAGCATGCAGTACTCGAACTTCTGCTTTCCCAGTTTCTTGGTCAAGTAACGAGCTGCCATCTTGGACGTGGGGCAGTAGGACAGCTCGAGTCTCCCCTTCTCGATCTCGTATTTCACGAAGAAATATCGCAGAGCGATGTGCTTCGTCCTGTTCGCGAATCCGTTTTTGTTCGCTATTCGGATTGCTGACTGGTTGTTACAGAACAGAGAGAAGCTGGGTAACTGGGCCAGCTTCGCTTCTTCCAGCAGTTCGCGAAGGTACAATCCTTCCTTGGTGGCTGAGCAGAGTGCGCTATATTAGATCTGCTTCAGCTGAGGAGAGGGCGATTAGCTCTTGCTTGCTCGACTGCCACGAGATAGGTCCGATAGGTTCGAGTCGGTAGTTGTAGCCGGTGCGTGAGCGCATGTTGTTAGAGTTGCCGGCGTGGTCAGCATCGACGTAGCCGATTAGCTTGGACGTCGTGGTTCCGGTCTTGTGGTAGGTTAGACCGAACGTCGGGGTGCTTGTGAGGTAGTGGAGTGTGCCGTCGAGCTCCGCCATGTGCTCTGCTTCAGGTTTCTTGAGGTAGGTGGCGAGTTGGCTCGTTGAGTATGATAGGTCCGGTCGGCAGGTGACGGCTGCGAAGAGCAGTCTTTCTAGCTTTCGCTGGTAGTCGCGTATGCCGGCGGGCTTGAGCAGGGCGGAGGCTTCCTTGTGGTTTCCTGCGGTGTAGCGGTACGGCGCGGAGATGGTGGCTGGAGTTAGTCCGAAGCGCTTAGCAATAGTGTCGGCGTATTTCGCGGCGCTGAGGTAGATCGCGTTCTCCTCTTCTTGAATGTTGAGCCCGAGGTATTGCGTTACGGTGGATGAGACTGTGAGCGTGAGGTCCTGCTGCAGCTCCCCTTCGAACCAGGTCGTGATGCCGTCGGTCGACCCGATGTAGGGCAGATTGTCCACGTAGATGATAAGCAAAATGTAATTGGTGCCTTTTGTGAGTTGGTACATGCCCTGGTCGTGCGTTAGTTGGCGAAATCCGATGCGGATTAGTCGGGCGTGTAGGTACTGCTGCCACAGCCTTGGAGCTTGCTTGCTTGCTTGCTTGTCAGTAGCTGACAGACTTGGTTGGGGTCTGCGTTGGAGCCGTGTGGTTGTTCAATGAAAATCTCAGCGTCGACGGGCGCGTAGAGGAAAGCGTTGGCGACGTCGATTTGGCAAAGCTTCTTCCGCTTCATGGCGGCTATCGCGAGCAGAATCCGCAGTGAGGTATGCCGGCTAACCGGCGCGAACGTTTCGGTGAAGTCTCGCCCGTGCTCTTGGTTGAAGCCGCGTACGACCCATCGAGCCTTGAACTTATCGATGGTTCCGTCTGCTTTTGTTTTCACGCGGGAAACCCATTTTCCGGTGAGAATAGTCTTGTTGCGTGCCACTACGATAGGTACGACCTTCCAGGTGTTGCGTTCTTCCAGCGCCTTTAACTCCCTATCCATGGCTTCGCGCCATTTTTCCCTGTGCTCCCCCCCCAGAGCCTGCTGAACTGTGGCAGGCTCCTTAGGTGGCGCTGCTCCGTGGACGGTGGTGACGAGGCCAAGTATCTGCAGTCCTCTCTGTGTGTAGCGAGGGAGAGTTGTATCCTCAGGATAGGCTGCTTCGCCTCCTGCTTCTAGATCAGGTATGAAATTAGGTTCTACGCGTTCTGCTTCGTCGGTGTTGACTTGCGCGGGTGTAACGTAACCGTTGTCGGCGAAGTGGTAGTAGACTTCGGCGTTGATGCTTTCGCGAGGATTTTCGTTGTCCATTGGGATGTCGACCGAACAGTAGGGAAGAGGCCCAGCTTCCTCTAAGGCTCCTTCCACGTTCTGCTCATCCCAGTCAACCGTCTGCTACCGAAGCGAAAGCTCGATTGCCAAGAAATCTGTCTCAGAGGTCCGGAGTTGGCAAGGTATGTCAGGAGGGTGAGTCCTTCGTAGAAGATGACATCACGTGTTGCCACTGTTTCCTTTATGTTGATGTCGAAAATTTTCCATGCGTTGTAATGTTCCTCGATGCTCAGATGTAGCCCCCATTGTGCGCGTTGGGAGAATCGGCCGGCTCGTGCAGCTGGGGGTCGGTACTGTACCATGCAGCCGAACACTCGCAACATTTTTGTGCTGCCCAATTTTCCTGTCCACAGCAGATGCGGTGATGCGTTGTTCGGGAGCGATGATGATGAGAGCAAGTTGTGCAGCATCACAGCATGGTCCATTGCTTCGGGCCACTGGTGGTTGGGTAGCCGCATGCCACGTAGCAGCTTGCGTATGGTGTTTTGGAGGGTCCTGTTCATCCTTTCTGCCACGCCTTGCTGTTGATGGGCGTAGGGGAGGGAGATGAGTCGCTTGATGCCTCTTTTTTCCAGGTAGTCCTTGAACCTCTGTGACTGATATTCCCCTCCCCCGTCTGACTGGAAGCTTTTCAGCTTCACTCCTGATTCTCGTTCTGCTGCTGGAAGCCAGGCGGCTAAGGCGTCGAGGGCCATGTCGCAGCTCGGGAGGTTGAAGTGCCGGATGTATCGTGTGGCGGCGTCGATGAACGTGATGACGTAGTTATATGCTCCTTGTCCAGGTTCGCGGTTGTACTATATGTCGCTGTACACTTTCTCCAGAGGTGCGTATGCTGGTGCGCTTGGATTGTGGTGAGAGACGAACGGCTGATGCGGTAAGTCGGCTTCAGGGCAGGTGAAGCACGTTCCGCGGACTCGCTTGAGTTCTTTGCCGTCGGTTAAAAGCAGCGAGTCCTTGTCAAGCACACCTACTCTTATCGTATTATTTAACGTTATGTTGTTCAGATGTCCCAGTCTTGCGTGCCAGGTACTTTCAGTGGCGCGATATCCAGGTGAACGTCTGTACATGTCGGAGTTGGAGTAGAAGCCTGCGGTGAAGTGTGCGCTTATGTGGACTTCTCGTGGAGTGGGAGTCAGCTGCTGCGCAAGAGTCGGTGGCTTGTCGTCGACGAAGACCGGTGCTGTTGAAGGACCAGCGATTGGTGTCAGTGTTGTTTCTGCTGCTGCCGATGTTGTCTCTACTGCTGCGGATGTTGTCTTGGCTGTTGCCGTTGTTGTCTCTACTGCTGTTGTTGTCCCTGCTGCTGTTGTCTCTGCTGCTGCTGTTGTCTCTGCTGCTGCTGTTGTCTCTGCTGCTGCCGATGTTGTCTCTGCTGCTGCCGGTGTTGTCTCTGCTGCTGCCGTTGTTGTCTCTGCTGCTGCCGTTGTTGTCTCTGCTGTTGTTGTGTCTGCTGCTGCTGATTGTTGAATTGTTGCTAACGCTCTTGTTCGTTCTGCTTCAAGTATAGTGTGCGAATATCAGAAGCCTCCAGGACTGAAGTCGGGGTCGAGATCTGGCGGGTGTGTCCAAGAAGTGAAGTTGACGATGGCGTCGTTGTCGGCGGTGCCTAGGTATGGAACAAAGTCGAGGACGAAGACGTCGTTCTCCGCCTCTCCCGTGGTATAGCTTGAACTCCTGAGTGGTATAGTAAGTTGTAGCCGAGGCCCTCCGTGATTAAAACATTTGACATCTGTAGTATGACATTGGTTTCTCTTGACTGAAGTTGAACTATGCCTTGTCGTCGTGTGCGCAGGTTCTGATTGTTGGCGACGGTGATGACGGCTTCGCGTTGAAGTTGGTGTTCCCGTTGAACGAAGCGACCCGAGGAGCACATGTGTTGTCCGCAGCAACTGTCCAAGAACCAGGTGTCTTTTCCGGACGGCTCGCTTTGGGCGATGGCTGCGTATGTCGGATTCGGCTGCAGTGACTCGCGACGAGGGGTGCTCTTATCGAGTAATTCTTCCAGTGAGTAGTGTGGTGGTGATTTAGTGATGCAGGAGTCGGTTATTCTCGCCATGCAGCTGACAATGTTTCTTGATCCTTGTGCAGGTTGTGTCGTTGTTGCCGTTGAAGATGGCACTTGAGCGGTGGAATGAGCTTGTGTCGAGGCGACTTGACTGCTCGAAGGCCAAAGTTGACGTTGCGTTAGTGTTGACTGCTGTCTGTTTGGACAGTGTGTGCGAGGGTGTCCTGACGTCTTGCAGAGATGACAGAACAGAGGTACGGGTTGTTGTGCTTGATACTTGTTTTGTCGGTTGTTGTTGTTGTCGTA